TAAGAGAAAAAAAAACTTAAACAGAGAAATCAATAAAAGTACAATAAAACAATTAAGAAGATAACGATTGACATTGCATTTAAATTTTTTAATATCAAAGTTAACAGGAAAGTAAGAAGCCAAAAAAAAAAAAAAAAAAAAAAAAAATTGTCCCACAAACGATTATGGGAAAAGAAGAAACTTTTAGAATAAAACTTACGGTTACATGTAACCATTTCAACTGTAAAATAATGAGACCTAGCCGACAACCTAGTACTGCGCTTAATTTCAGAAAGTCTAGATACCATAGAGGAAAGTTCCTCTGGAGAATTACCATGACAATATTTATAGAAAAGGCAGAAGGAAGTTACGTTACGGTGGGGAAGATTTTTTTAACATAATGTTCACCCTGTACAAGGCCCAAGAGCCACTCGAGGTAGAATAGTACAGTTTAATAGGCACAGTTTATGGGGATATGTAGGGAAGATGACAGTTAAGCCTAGATTTGAACAGGGTAACATTGTATTGATGGCTGAAGCATACTCTTGGGAATCGGTTCGAAAGTCTTGTCACCCATAAATAATATAATGTTGCATTTCAACTCTCTGTGGTGTATTATCAAGGAGAGAGTTTCACATGAACAATACCAGAATACCCATCAGTTGAAGGACGTCGTTCGGAGAGCCTTTGCAACAATCAACAAAGCACAGCTTCATAAAATATCACATAGGATATGGCGCCACATCCTTTTGTGTCTCGAAAATGATGGTCTTCATACAGACCTTCTCGATGTGTGACAGCGTCAATGAAATTAAATAAAGTGAATCGAGCACATGTGATTTGTATTACTGTATTACTTGTTCTTATATTGTTCTCATTACGTTTTGGTAGTCGGTGAAAAGACATTCTGACCACCCTGTATCGTGGCCAAGAAATGAGGGATGTGATTAATACCAAAGAATAATCCAAAACTGATCCCTCACTTTTTATCACCCTTTCATTTGATCGCCTATGATGATGTTTTGTAATTTCATCTATGAATCCACAGGATGGTCCGAAAGTCTTGTCACCTCCACTTAATATAATTTTCTATTACAGATGGCTGCCTCGAAAATTATGGTCTTCATACAGACCTTCTCGATGTGTGACAGCGTCAATGAAATTAAATAAACTGAATCCAGCACATGTGATTTGTATTACTGTATTAATTGTTTTTTTTTGTTCTCATTACGTTTTGGTAGGAGTGACAAGTCTTTCAGACCACCCTGTGTGTGTGTGTGTGTTTATATATATATATATATATATATATATATATATATATATATATATATATATATATATACTGGGTGGTCCGAAAGCCTTGTCACCTCCACTTAATATAATTCTCCATTTCAGAGGGCTGACACGAAAATGATGGCGTTCATACAGACCTTCTCGATGTGTGACAGCGTCAATGAAAGTGAATTAACTGAATCCAGTACATATGCTTTGTATTACTGTATTACTTGTTCTTCTACTGATCTCATAACCTTTTGGTAGGGTGTGACAGGACTTTTAGACCACACTGTACAATCTAAAATAGAATCCCAAAATTCTTTTACAAACAGGTTCCTCATACGACAACAAGGACAAAAGTTCACATAAACATATATTCGCAAATCTTTCGTTTTTTTAGTTCTTACGTTTTGGTAGGAGTGTGACACGAACTTCGGACGAATCTGTATCTTGTCCGAGCAATTTCCATGGAAGTAGCGATACTGCTCTCATAATCAGTGTGGTCCTTGAGGCTGACGGTCCCTCATAAGTCCTCATAGATGGCAGTTACCCGGATGGTGAAGTCTTTACAGTTGGCATTTCCACGGGTGGTAAATCTTTACATCTGGCTGCTCCAGGGATGATGAGGTGTTTACAACTGACAGTTCCACGGATATGGAGGAATTTAAGGTTGGCATTTCCACGGATGGTGAGGTCTTTACGGCTGACAGTTCCACGGATGGTGAGGTTTTTACAGCTTACAGTTGCACGGATGGTGAGGTTTTTACAGCTGGCATTTCCACGGATGTTTAGGTCTTTACAGCTGACAGTTCCACGGATGGTGAGGTTTTTACAGCTGGCATTTCCACGGATGGTGAGATATTTACAGCTGACAGTTCCACGGATGGTGAGGTTTTTACAGCTGACAGTTCCACGGATGGTGAGGTTTTTCAGCTTACAGTTCCACGGATGGTGAGGTTTTTACAACTGACAGTTCCCACGGATGGTGAGGTTTTTACAGCTTACAGTTGCACGGATGGTGAGGTTTTTACAGCTGGCATTTCCACGGATGTTGAGGTTTTTACAGCTGACAGTTCCACGGATGGTGAGGTTTTTACAGCTGGCATTTCCACGGATGGTGAGGTATTTACAGCTGACAGTTCCACGGATGGTGAGGTTTTTTCAGCTGACAGTTCCACGGATGGTGAGGTTTTTACAGCTTACAGGTCCACGGATGGTGAGGTTTTTACAGCTGGCATTTCCACGGATGTTGAGGTTTTTACAGCTGGCATTTCCACGGATGTTGAGGTTTTTACAGCTGACAGTTCCACGGATGGTGAGGTTTTTACAGCTGACAGTTGCACGGATGGTGAGGTTTTTACAGCTTACAGGTCCACGGATGGTGAGGTTTTTACAGCTGGCATTTCCACGGATGTTGAGGTTTTTACAGCTGGCATTTCCACGGATGTTGAGGTTTTTACAGCTGACAGTTCCACGGATGGTGAGGTCTTTACAGCTGACAGTTCCACGGATGGTGAGGTTTTTACAGCTTACAGTTGCACGGATGGTGAGGTTTTTACAGCTTACAGGTCCACGGATGGTGAGGTTTTTACAGCTGACAGTTCCACGGATGGTGAGGTTTTTACAGCTTACAGGTCCACGGATGGTGAGGTTTTTACAGCTGGCATTTCCACGGATGTTGAGGTTTTTACAGCTGACAGTTCCACGGATGGTGAGGTTTTTACAGCTGACAGTTCCACGGATGGTGAGGTTTTTTTACACAGTTGCACGGACAGGTTTTACAGCTTACAGGTCCACGGATGGTGAGGTTTTTACAGCTGGCATTTCCACGGATGTTGAGGTTTTTACAGCTGGCATTTCCACGGATGTTGAGGTTTTACAGCTGACAGTTCCACGGATGGTGAGGTTTTACAGCTGGTTCCACGGATGGTGAGGTTTTTACAGCTGACAGTTCCACGGATGGTGAGGGCTTACAGGTCCACGGATGGTGAGGTTTTTACAGCTGGCATTTCCACGGATGTTGAGGTTTTTACAGCTGACAGTTCCACGGATGGTGAGGTTTTTACAGCTGACAGTTCCACGGATGGTGAGGTTTTTACAGCTTACAGTTGCACGGATGGTGAACGGAGGTCCACGGATGGTGAGGTTTTACAGCTGGCATTTCCACGGATGTTGAGCTGACAGTTCCACGGATGGTGAGGTTTTTACAGCTTACAGGTCCACGGATGGTGAGGTTTTTTACAGCTGGCATTTCCACGGATGTTGAGGTTTTTACAGCTGGCATTTCCACGGATGTTGAGGTTTTTACAGCTGACAGTTCCACGGATGGTGAGGTTTTTACAGCTGACAGTTCCACGGATGGTGAGGTTTTTACAGCTGACAGTTCCACGGATGGTGAGGTTTTTACAGCTTACAGTTGCACGGATGGTGAGGTTTTTACAGCTTACAGGTCCACGGATGGTGAGGTTTTTACAGCTGGCATTTCCACGGATGTTGAGGTTTTACAGCTGACAGTTCCACGGATGGTGAGGTTTTTACAGCTGACAGTTCCACGGATGGTGAGGTTTTTACAGCTGACAGTTCCACGGATGGTGAGGTTTTTACAGCTTACAGGTCCACGGATGGTGAGGTTTTTTACAGCTGGCATTTCCACGGATGTTGAGGTTTTTACAGCTGGCATTTCCACGGATGGATGTTGAGGTTTTTACAGCTGACAGTTCCACGGATGGTGAGGTTTTTACAGCTGACAGTTCCACGGATGGTGAGGTTTTTACAGCTTACAGGTCCACGGATGGTGAGGTTTTTAGCTGGATGATGTTGAGGTTTTTACAGCTGACATTTCCACGGATGTTGAGGTTTTTAAAGCTGACAGTTCCACGGATGGTGAGGTTTTTACAGCTGACAGTTCCACGGATGGTGAGGTTTTTACAGCTGACAGTTCCACGGATGGTGAGGTTTTTACAGCTGGCATTTCCACGGATGTTGAGGTTTTTACAGCTGACAGTTCCACGGATGGTGAGGTTTTTACAGCTTACAGGTCCACGGATGGTGAGGTTTTTACAGCTGGCATTTCCACGGATGTTGAGGTTTTTACAGCTGGCATTTCCACGGATGTTGAGGTTTTACAGCTGACAGTTCCACGGATGGGATGGTGAGGTTTTTACAGCTGACAGTTCCACGGATGGTGAGGTTTTTACAGCTGACAGTTCCACGGATGGTGAGGTTTTTACAGCTGGCATTTCCACGGATGTTGAGGTTTTTACAGCTGACAGTTCCACGGATGGTGAGGTTTTTACAGCTTACAGGTCCACGGATGGTGAGGTTTTTACAGCTGGCATTTCCACGGATGTTGAGGTTTTTACAGCTGACATTTCCACGGATGTTGAGGTTTTTAAAGCTGACAGTTCCACGGATGGTGAGGTTTTTACAGCTGACAGTTCCACGGATGGTGAGGTTTTTTACAGCTGACAGTTCCACGGATGGTGGTGAGGATTTTTTTACAGCTGGCATTTCCACGGATGTTGAGGTTTTTACAGCTGACAGTTCCACGGATGGTGAGGTTTTTACAGCTTACAGGTCCACGGATGGTGAGGTTTTTACAGCTGGCATTTCCACGGATGTTGAGGTTTTTACAGCTGGCATTTCCACGGATGTTGAGGTTTTTACAGCTGACAGTTCCACGGATGGTGAGGTTTTTACAGCTGACAGTTCCACGGATGGTGAGGTTTTTACAGCTGACAGTTCCACGGATGGTGAGTTTTTTACAGCTGACATTTCCACGGATGTTGAGGTTTTACAGCTGACAGTTCCACGGATGGTGAGGTTTTTACATTTTACAGGTCCACGGATGGTGAGGTTTTTACAGCTGGCATTTCCACGGATGTTGAGGTTTTACAGCTGGCATTTCCACGGATGTTGAGGTTTTACAGCTGACAGTTCCACGGATGGTGAGGTTTTTACAGCTGACAGTTCCACGGATGGTGAGGTTTTTACAGCTGACAGTTCCACGGATGGTGAGGTTTTTACAGCTTACAGTTGCACGGATGGTGAGGTTTTTACAGCTTACAGGTCCACGGATGGTGAGGTTTTTACAGCTGGCATTTCCACGGATGTTGAGGTTTTTACAGCTGACAGTTCCACGGATGGTGAGGTTTTTACAGCTGACAGTTCCACGGATGGTGAGGTTTTTACAGCTTACAGTTGCACGGATGGTGAGGTTTTTACAGCTTACAGGTCCACGGATGGTGAGGTTTTTACAGCTGGCATTTCCACGGATGTTGAGGTTTTTACAGCTGACAGTTCCACGGATGGTGAGGTTTTTACAGGCTGACAGTTCCACGGATGGTGAGGTTTTTACAGCTGACAGGTCCACGGATGGTGAGGTTTTTACAGCTGGCATTTCCACGGATGTTGAGTTTTTTTACAGCTGGCATTTCCACGGATGTTGAGGTTTTACAGCTGACAGTTCCACGGATGGTGAGGTTTTTACAGCTGACAGTTCCACGGATGGTGAGGTTTTTACAGCTGACAGTTCCACGGATGGTGAGGTTTTTACAGCTGGCATTTCCACGGATGTTGAGGTTTTTACAGCTGACAGTTCCACGGATGGTGAGGTTTTTACAGCTTACAGGTCCACGGATGGTGAGGTTTTTACAGCTGGCATTTCCACGGATGTTGAGGTTTTACAGCTGGTATTTCCACGGATGTTGAGGTTTTTACAGCTGACAGTTCCACGGATGGTGAGGTTTTACAGCTGACAGTTCCACGGATGGTGAGGTTTTTACAGCTGACAGTTCCACGGATGGTGAGGTTTTTACAGCTGACAGTTCCATGGATGGTGAGGTTTTTACAGCTTACAGTTCCACGGATGGTGAGGTTTTTACAGTTTTACAGGTCCACGGATGGTGAGGTTTTTACAGCTGGCATTTCCACGGATGTTGAGGTTTTTACAGCTGACAGTTCCACGGATGGTGAGGTTTTTACAGCTGACAGTTCCACGGATGGTGAGGTTTTTACAGCTGACAGTTCCACGGATGGTGAGGTTTTACAGCTTACAGTTGCACGGATGGTGGTTTTTACAGCATACAGGTCCACGGATGGTGAGGTTTTTACAGCTGGCATTTCCACGGATGTTGAGGTTTTACAGCTGACAGTTCCACGGATGGTGAGGTTTTTACAGCTGACAGTTCCACGGATGGTGAGGTTTTACAGCTTACAGTTGCACGGATGGTGAGGTTTTTACAGCTTACAGGTCCACGGATGGTGAGGTTTTTACAGCTGGCATTTCCACGGATGTTGAGGTTTTTACAGCTGACAGTTCCACGGATGGTGAGGTTTTTTACAGCTGACAGTTCCACGGATGGTGAGGTTTTTACATCTTACAGTTGCACGGATGGTGAGGACAGTTACAGTTCCACGGATGGTGAGGTTTTTACAGCTGGCATTTCCACGGATGTTGAGGTTTTTACAGCTGGCATTTCCACGGATGTTGAGGTCTTTACAGCTGACAGTTCCACGGATGGTGAGGTTTTTACAGCTGACAGTTCCACGGATGGTGAGGTTTTTACAGCTTACAGTTGCACGGATGGTGAGGTTTTTACAGCTTACAGGTCCACGGATGGTGAGGTTTTTACAGCTGGCATTTCCACGGATGTTGAGGTTTTTACAGCTGGCATTTCCACGGATGTTGAGGAGCTGACAGTTCCACGGATGGTGAGGTTTTTACAGCTGACAGTTCCAATTGATGGTGAGGTTTTTACAGCTGACAGTTCCACGGATGGTGAGGTTTTTACAGCTTACAGTTGCACGGATGGTGAGGTTTTTACAGCTTACAGGTCCACGGATGGTGAGGTTTTTACAGCTGGCATTTCCACGGATGTTGAGGTTTTACAGCTGACAGTTCCACGGATGGTGAGGTTTTTACAGCTGACAGTTCCACGGATGGTGAGGTTTTTACAGCTGACAGTTCCACGGATGGTGAGGTTTTACAGCTTACAGGTCCACGGATGGTGAGGTTTTTACAGCTGGCATTTCCACGGATGTTGAGGTTTTTATAGCTGACAGTTCCACGGATGGTGAGGTTTTTACAGCTGACAGTTCCACGGATGGTGAGGTTTTACATCTTACAGTTGCACGGATGGTGAGGTTTTTACAGCTTACAGGTCCACGGATGGTGAGGTTTTTACAGCTGGCATTTCCACGGATGTTGAGGTTTTTACAGCTGGCATTTCCACGGATGTTGAGGTTTTTACAGCTGACAGTTCCACGGATGGTGAGGTTTTTACAGCTGACAGTTCCACGGATGGTGAGGTTTTTACAGCTGACAGTTGCACGGATGGTGAGGTTTTTACAGCTTACAGGTCCACGGATGGTGAGGTTTTTACAGCTGGCATTTCCACGGATGTTGAGGTTTTACAGCTGACAGTTACGGATGGTGAGGTTTTACAGCTTACAGTTGCACGGATGGTGAGGTTTTTACAGCTTACAGGTCCACGGATGGTGAGTTTTACAGCTGGCATTTCCACGGATGTTGAGGTTTTTACAGCTGGCATTTCCACGGATGTTGAGGTTTTTACAGCTGACAGTTCCACGGATGGTGAGGTTTTTTTTCCACGGATGGTGAGGTTTTTACACTTACAGTTGCACGGATGGTGAGGTTTTTACAGCTTACAGGTCCACGGATGGTGAGGTTTTACAGCTGGCATTTCCACGGATGTTGAGGTTTTTACAGCTGGCATTTCCACGGATGTTGAGGTTTTTACAGCTGACAGTTCCACGGATGGTGAGGTTTTTACAGCTGACAGTTC